CTGTTTCTCTCCGATGACATCGCTGCGGGCTCTTTAGCCTGCTCTCTCCCCAGTCCACCTGTCAGAGACCCACCCTTCCTCCCCTGCTGCTCTTGGATTGCACCTGGGCTGATACAGTGAGAGGAACCCTAGTGGCTCAGCGGTTACTTATTGAGCTGCAATCTGCAAGGTCGGCAGTTTGAAACCAGCATCCCCTCTGCAGGAGAAAGACAAGGCCCTCTTTCCTGTAATGGGTGACAGTCACAGAAACTCACAGGGGCAGCTCTACCCTGTCCTATAAGGTCGCCATGAGCCAGTTTTGTCTTGATGGCAGCAAGTTTTTCTTTTTTTGTTGTTGCAGGTGGGTGGGCAGGAAAGGGGGTCTATGGGTTACAAAACAGTATGTTTGCCTACCAACTGTCTTAGGAGGTCTGCGCCCACCCAGGGGCATTGTGTCTACATCTGAGCCCCGCATGCGCTCTATTTTATATAAAACACATGTACATGCAGCTTCAAAAAAAATCCATGGAAGTTTTTCCTTATCTTTTAATTCCACTTTTCCACGCACTTTTTGAACCTCCTTCATGGAAGCCATTGCAGGGTAACCTGAAGACAAATACCTGGGTGTTGGCTCTAACTATGATGAAGATGCCCTTTTCTCTAAAATACCAGGGGCCTCCTCTTTGCCTTCTCACTCCATTTTCTACATGGGTCGGAAGCCCCCTTCGTACTGCTCTTAGGGGATCACTGTGTGTCACTCAGCAAACAATTCCATTGGCCAGGCTTCGGGGAGGATCAGCAGATGTCTCCTGACCCTCGAAGAGCTTACTCTTCGTAGAGGAGGCTCATCACGCAAAGGCCTGCAGCATCACTGTCCACAGGAGTTCATTCCAGCGATGCCCATCACCCTATTCGAGCACGTCACACAGCCGGCCCCATGAGAGGCTGCAGCCAGGGGGCGGCTTTCCCTGTGCAGAGTTTAAGCAGACCCTGTAATTAAGTAGCGAGGTGGAGAGGGGGGATGCCGGGAAGCTGAGTTTAATGGGTCGGAGAAAGGCCCCATAGAAAGATGCTCAGGGTGGTGGGGCCCCAGCACGTTGGATGAACTGGTGAGCAAGGGTCAGTGGTAGGATACAAGGACAGCAGGAGGTAGGAGCCTTATGGCGACTTGTCATGAATGCCGGGCTCCATCTTTTCCTTGGATTTTCTGTGCTGAAGGTGAACGTGTCTATAGCAAATGCGCTGTCTAACCATGGAGTCAGTCGCCGGCTGTTCCCTGACTCTAGTTGCAATACTTTGATGGGCAGCCCTCCCCCCATGTCCTCCCTGGTTCCGTTCATCTGGTTTCCCCGCACCCCTCAGACTTCTCCTCTTCGGGTTTGCACAAAGGCTGTGCTTCCGGTTCCTGTGGACATGCCGGCTGTCGGGAGCACGTACGTTCTTCTTCGTGGTGCTGCGGTCTCTTTCTTAGACACATCTCTTACTTGGCTGAGAGGACGTCTCAGGGAGTATCTTGTGTTTCAAGTTCCAAGTTGGCTTCGGGCACTGGTCTCTGGAGTTACTCTTTCAGACCAGTAAGTCTGGCCTTTGTTTAGTTAAAAAAAAAATTTGTTCTACCTTTTTATCAGCTCTCATCGAGACCATCTCTTGTGGGCCTCGTCACCGTGAGTGGTGGTGGAAGTTGAGCACAGCCTCGTGCAAGAACCTGGGGTGTGGCGGGTGTGGCTGGGCCTTCATCTCATCTGTGAGGAGCAGGCACTGTCCACACCCAGCCCAGGCTCAGAACGAGAGTCCCAGAGTCCTTCAGTGTCGACTGGGACTTGAACTCAAAAATTTTCAAGCGGTGACTTATTTCTCAATGCAAGCCCTGGTGGCATAGTGGTTATGCGTTGGACTGCTAGCTGCAACGTCAGCAGTTCGAAACCACCAGCTGCTTCATGGGAGAAAGAGGAGGCTTTCTATTCTCGTAAAGAGTTACAGTCTCGGAAACTCACAGGAGCAGTTCTACCCTGTCCTGCAGGGTCACTCTGAGTTGGTGTGGACTCCATGGCAGTGAGCTTGTTGATTCTATGGACTTCTTCTCTCTCTGTGTCCTGTTCACTGAAAGGTGCTGCGTTCAAACCCGGAAAACACACGCAGGCTTGACAGAGGGAAGGAGGATGGTGAACAAGGAGGCAGGCACAGCCTTCTGCACAGATGCAGCGCCGCCTCCCGTGGCTTTTCCCCACGGTGTCTGTGCCGAGACCCTGGGAGACAGAGTGGCTGGCTTTTACCTTAATTAGCGCAGCAATTTGCTAAATTTTGTTTTTCCCTCTTTAAGAGTGTTAATCAATTTTTGCTCCGAATAGATTGGAATGGCACACAAATTACCACGACAATCCCCACATGCTACAGTCTGAATACCTCCATCAACCCCAGGCTGAAATATAAGAAAATAAAAAGGAAAATAGGCCCTCAAACACAGGCCGGCATCTCCGTGATCTGTTTGCTGTGAAACGGTTCTGGAATGAACAGGGAATGGCTCTGTGGAGTTGGGAGCAAGTGCTCTGCTGGGGTCAGTCTCATGCCTGGGTGCTTTGTCCTTTCCCAAGGTGGCTCGAGGTGTGCATCACATACGCCTACAGCAGTGGTTCTCACCCTTCCTAATGCTGAGACCCTCTCATACAGATCCTCATGTTGTGGTGACCCCCCCAACCATAACATTATTTCCGTTGCTCTTTCATCACTGTCATTTTACTACTGTTATGAATTGGGCGCCACCTGTGAAAGGGTCCTCTGACACCCAAAGGAGTCCGGGTTGAGAACTGCTGGCCTACAGGGTTGCAAGCGCCTCTCTGAATAGTTATCTGTTGCATCCACAAGCACTGACAGAGTCCCAAGACAAGAGACCTTAAGAAGATCCATTGAAGCGGTTTCCCACGGGGAGCACAGGAAACAGACACAGGACCGGAAAAGGCGCCCCTCCTGCCCGAAGAAGTCCCCGCCCCGTTTTCAGATGAGCTGGCCATGCAGCAAGGAGGAAGGACAGGTCAAGAAGCTACAGGTGAGCAGGATGCATCACATAGAGAAAACAGCATAAGCAAAGGCTCACAGGTAGGAGAAAGGGCAGAGGGAAACACCGGTGGCCTCTCCGAGCTGAGTGGCAGAGTAGATTTGAGGGAATGACCGGAGGAAGAGGACCCCCTGCAGTCGGGCTGTCACATCTCCGCAGTGTGACTTGGATACAAGCCAAGTCACACTGGAAGGGTTCTAAGCAAGGGAGTTAGGAACCAAATGGGTCTCAGTTAGTTGCAAGCCTCCGGATCAATAAGAACCTTACTATTCAGCCAACACCACTGTGGACGAAGGAGCCCTGGTGGCACTGTGGTTATGCATCGGGCTGCCATCCTCAAGGTCAGCAGCTGGAAGCCACCAGCTGCTTGTTGGGAGACAGACGGGGCTTTCCCCGCTTCTGTGCAGCTACAGTCTAGGAAGATCACAGGACAGTCCTCCCCAGTCCTGCAGGGCTGCTGCGAGTCAGCATCCACTCAAGGGCAGTGGGTTCGATTTGGTTCTGTCTTTGACAAGCTCATTCACAGATGAGGGGAATTCAAAAAGTCGGTCATGCGATTAGTCCATCAACTTCTAACCCAATTCCCCTACATGTGTGGAAGCCCCTGGTCTATTGTCTAAGAGCTCCGGTGGTGTAGTGACTATGCATGGGGCCACTAACTTCCAGGTCGCCAGCCGTTGCGTGGAAGAAAGAAGAGGCTTTCTTCTCCCGTAAAGAGTTACAGACTCAGAGGCAGGTCGACCCTGTGAGTTGGAATTGACTCAGTGGCAGTGAGTTTGAGTTTGGCATCATCTCTCCTTTGGGTCTCTTTCCTACCCAGGACTAATTTCCACCAAGACAGCTTGCAAGCAGGGTGGCCTCACATATGCAGAGTAGAACTACTCCATAGACTTGCAAAGCTGTGACCCTTCTTTTGGAAGCAGATGACCAAGGCCTTTCTTCAGGTGGGGGGTGTCCCTGGGGGGTCCCTTCTAACCATCACCCTCTCAGGTAGTAGTTGAGTACACAACTATGCCACCCAGGGGCTCCCCACCCCTGAGTCTCAGACAATCATCTTTACACAGATGGAGAAACAAGACAAAACAAAATCAAGGAACACAAAAAATAGGCGATTTGCTTTTGTTTCGAGATCAGACCAAGACGATGGGTTCCCAACCTGAACTGCTCTGAAGTGTCCTGAAGAGGAATTTGAAAGTAAGGATCAACAGGTGCACAGGGTTTTGTTTATTCTAGGGCCTGTTCACACAGGGGCTTCGGCCACGGAACCATTCACCACACGGTTGGCAGTTTAAACCTAGCAGTGACTATGCGGGAGCAAAATGAGGCTGCCTGCTCCCACCAAGTTTTGCAGCCTCGGAAACCGGCTGGGGCAGTTCTACTCTGTCCTACAGCGTTACTATGCGGTGTGTGTGTGTGTGTGTGGTTTGTTGGGGCCTCAATGATTTGTCACATGCTGCTCATTCAGCACTGGAAGGTGATTTTGACGAAGAATGTGTTGGGGGTAGGGAGTTGGTGCCATGACTTCAAAGGGCGGGCACGTATACCTAACATTAACGGACACATAAGAGCTGTGTACGTGGCAGGCATTTGCCACCCAGGGATTGCGAGTGGAAACCAGGCATGCCCACCTCTGAGTTCAGCATTTCCCTCCCTGGGTGGCAGAGTTCTCTAGACCACAGGTAGACAAGTTGTATTTCTCCTATGAGCAAGACCAAGCGCTCCCCGCCTGTGTGCAGAGCCTCAGGGGCTAGCGCCACTCAGTCCACCACAGACTCTGTGCTGATGGAGGCGCTGTGGACACCATCCAGTAACACCCGTGGATTCAGCTGGCAAGCCAACTCCCGCCACAGGGGCTTTCAGTTGGGACCCAGAGCTCTGATGTGGCTGGCCATGGGCTCCTAAATGACCTAGGGTGAAAGGAATTTGCAGGGTGGGGCTCCTGGGGCGGCGCCTCGCCCCGCGCCCATACCTTGAGCTCCTCGGCATTGTAGAAGTCCACACGCACGGCAGGCACCATCCACGTCTGGAAGAGCGTGGCCAAGATCTGCTCGGCGATGGTGTCGGCAATGAGGTGGAAGTGCAGCGGATTCCGCCTGCAGGGATAGAAAGGAAGCAGCATGAGGAGGCGGAGGGAAGGTGCCCAGAACCCAGAGGCAAAGACGCAGGAGGGCCTGGAAGGAGTCCAGGAGGTACCGTGGAAGCGTGCCCGGCACCCAGCCATTGTAGCGCTCACTCAGGAGGGCATCGGAGCCAAGGGGGTACTTCCCCCAAACTGAGCATCCCATAGGTATTGCAAGCAAAAATGAGAAAGGACGAAAGCTCATGGCACCCCATTCAAGGCAACTGCCCCACCTGCTGTCAAAGTATGAGTGTCTCCCCGAATCCTCAGTGAAGTGTGTGGAACCAATGTCCAACCCCGGGTGAGATAGTTAAGGTTTATTGTGCCAACCTGGCCAGTAAGCACATGTGGGATTAACTGAAGGGCGGAGAGAGAAATGGCCTGGTGAGCCTTGTCTTTCGAGTTCTCAGGTCTCTTGCTCTCTGATGGCTTGCTAGAAGATCTGTAAGAACTGCTAATAAAATGATTTATTAAAAAAATAAATCTTAGAAGAATGGGGGGGGGGAACATGGTTAAAAAAGCACAAGTAGCAAAAGACAAAATAGAAAAAACGGAACCACGGATCGTTAGGTTTTGTGTCAGTTTGACTGGACCAGGATTCTCAGTGGTTTGGCCATTGAGACCTCCCCAGGATGTGATCTAATATAATTTAATAAACATGATTTGATCTACTGTCAGCAGCCAAGCATGGTGAGGAGAAGAGGGTACAATGCATCTCTTTACTCAGGTCACAGCCCTGATGACGTGTCCTGGGGGGTGTGGCCTACTTCACATCCAAGTAGATGCTGTAGAGAGCTCGTTAATCCTGCTGGCCTGGATCCTGCACCTGGCTCATCAACCTCGGTTTCTCTGGACCTTCGCCAGTGGCCAGCCCTACTGTCTGTCAATGTTCGGAGCCATCAGTACCTGCGATCTTCCCTGCTGACCTTGGAATCATTTGCAACTACTGGCCATGGTCTTCCGGGTTCTGTTTCCTGGTTCACCTACTCGAGTCAGGAAAAGCATTCAGTTTGACGTCTGACCCGCAGACTTGAGCCAGACTGAACTTATCCACTTCTATGACTGTGTGAGTCACTTTCTTGATATATATGTGTATCACTCTGCAATAAGCGGCAATGGAGGTAGACATGTCTGACCTCCTCTGGTTTTCCTCATGCCATGAGGCAGGGGGATCAGACCTGTCTCCATGCTCCATACTCCTTTACCTACTCTGATACCAATGGTTCCTCCCATGCCACTCTACCTCTTTGCTGGGTTTGGTAATTCATTGCAATGGCCACAAAGCAGACACAGACAATACTCATGGGTCAGGGGGGTTATTAGGGAAGTAAGTAAGTTACCACAAGTCAAAATCGGCAAACACTAAGGAGAGAGTCATTGGCCTTCTCTGCCAGTAACCAAGGTTCTCTCCAGTTCTCAGCATCTCAGCCATGTGGCCCCTTGGTTTTTGCTCCCATGGGCCAGGAGACTAGCTCACCAGCCACGCTGTCCCACAGTTCCATAATTTCAGTCCAGATAAGGAGAATGCACCCCACAATCCCAGCACAGCTCCTCTGAGTCTCCCTGCCACCATCTGCTGAGTCTCAGCGGCCTCTGCTACTTCAGAGATCTTGAACATGCCTTCCAAGGTCCTCAGGGGGTCTCTCCTCACTCCTGTTGCCTCAAAGACGGCTCATTCTTTTAGCTGGGGTGTGGTAATGAAAACAGACTCATCCCCTCTTAGTGTTGCACATGCTCTATTTGCAGAGTCCCAAGGGGTCATTTGACGGGAGTTACAGAAAGTTGGGTAGAAGAGACATAGGAAAAACTTCACTCCACTACACATTGGTCTTGCTTCTCTAGAGAACCCAGCCTAAACAGAGGACTGCAGGAAAAGGAATTACTTTTGTTCATCATGGACGTTACCCAAAAGCATAAAGACAACCTAGAGAAGGGGAGAAAATGAGTACCGGAAATCCCCTTCGCCACTGTAGGTCTAGCAGGTTACTGTCCACCTGTCCTCTAGCCTTTGCCTGTGAGCTATCCACAGCAGCGGTTCTCGAGCTCCACAAAGTACCAGCTCCCTGGCTGACTGCTCTATCCATCTAGCCGGGCAGCCACTGCAGTGGTTAGCCAGGCTTGTCTTCACGCTGCCGCCTCTTCTTGGGCCCGTTACATGGTGCCATGGTCATTGCTTTCAGCCTTCATTTCTCAAGGACTCAGAGGAAGCCACTTCGCTGGGCCAGGTGCCCTTCGTAGGCCCCACTGATTCCTGAGCTCAGTACTCATCCCAGTGGGTTGGGCTGCAGTGGACTGATTGTTCACGCTTGTCTGTCCTCGGCAAGATATGTTTTATCATCAAGACCTGTAATTTGTTAATAATCTCACACCTAGATTATTGCATTTGCTGTGTGTCTCCCACCAGTTAATTGTTTATTGACTGAATAAATAAATAGACGAGTGCATAATTATTCCAAGAAACCGACATGTCCCCACACAATCTGAGGCAATTAGCTGGACGTTAGGTGTAGAGAGTCTTCTGTGGCCTACCGCCAAGCCTGGAAATGGCTCTAAATTCTTTCCCTTTTCCCGGCAGTACTATAAATATGGATCCATGGAAAACAAGGACTGACATTTCCCAGCCTCCTCTGTAGACAGGCATGGCCACATGTCCAAGTTCTGGCCAACGTGGAAGAGTAAGTCAATTTCTGGGAACTGTGGCCCAAGGGAGGGCGCAGCATGCTGTGCAGCTATTTCCTTCTCGCCGTCTCCCAGGGGAGCAGAAGATGCACGAGGGGCCGAAGCCAGAGTGATCCATAGGGTGTTTGCTGGGTGAGAGATGGCAGCCACCAATTGTGGCCACCGTTGGAAGAGCACTCTACTGCTCTGGAAGAACTGCCACGAAGTGGGGGTCCCACTCGCCCGATGTACTGCTGGTTGGACTCAAACTTGCAATCTTTTTGTTAGAAATGCATCAAGTACATAAAAACAAACTCGCCGAGATCAAGTCGATTCTGACTCACAGCACTCCCTATGAGATAAGGTCGAACTGCCCCTGTGGGTTTCCAAGACTGTAACTATTTACAGTAGTAGAAAACTTCCTCTTTCTCCTGCAATGGGGTTGGTGGTTTCAAACAGGTGACCTCGAGCTTAGCAGCCCAACTCATAACCACTAAGCCACCAGGGCTCCTTGTAAAGTCCTTACGGGCTGGTTTTAATGCTGTTGCTGTCTCACGGGGCCATCCGAGTTGGGTCTGACTCATAGTGACCCTAAATACAAGATAATGAACCAATGCCAGTCCTGCGCCACCCCCACCATTCTGATGTCTCAGCCCATCGCTGCAGCCACCGTGTCTACCCATCTTGTCAAGACCCTTCCTTTTTTTTGGCTGTCCCTCAACTTTACCAAGCCTGTTATCCTTCTCCAAGGTCTGGCCTCTCCTGCTTATGTGTCCCAAGGACATGCTTTCATGGTGGGCCCCACAAATTCCAATCTGACCCAAAGTCTGTCTGCCCATGGCCTTCCTCGTCTCTTTTCTGCTCAAAGCTAAGAGGATGTGGAGGACACATTTACCGCCGAATGGACTTCACAGACTGAAGAACCACGGGAGAAATGAGGTCCTCAAGGTGTGGTCCAATGCTTTTGCATTCTATAGCGACCTAGCAGACTGTCGTCTCTGACAACAAGCCACCAGTCATCCGTGTCTTGCGGGAGCACAGCTTCAGCCCCACGAGGACAGGCTGGTTGGGGTCCTGAGCCACAAGGAGTCCACAGGGCAGGCCTGGGTGCCAGCAGGCCTGTCCAGCTGCAGACATCGGGCGGTTCTGTGGACGGATCGGAACTGAAGGAGGAAGTGGCCGTGCACTTCATCTTCAGCGGAGCCTGCAGCCTCCACTCTTAATGAGCCTCGCTCCCGCTGCCTCTGGTTTCCTTAACTGCTCCCCGGCTCCAGGCTGGGAGGCAATAAATATGGTAATACAAAGAGGCAGTGATGATTAAAACACAGCCTCCTTCCTTCCTCTCCTTGCTGCCTATGCTGGGGACGCGCCACAGAGTCTAGAAGGCACTCCAAGGTCTGTTTTTCTATTAACAAGCACAGGGACCCGGGAGCTGAAATAATCCTTAATTATTCAGTTGATGATGGAAAGACGAGTTTAGGAGGAAGAGTCTGTGGCTACAACATGGATGCTCCGAGGGTCCACGACACAGGAGAGATGGAGCAGAACTCCTGTCAGAAGAATCCAGCAGCCAGAGCCAGGGCTCTGCAGCACGTGTTGCTGGTTGGTGTGGTCAAGTGGGCTTGGTGAGATGTTGATATTCTTGCTTTTGTTAGGTGCCATCAGGTTGGCTCAGGCTCATAGTGAGGCCACGCGGTCCTGCGCCAGCCACACAACTGTTCCTACTCCTGAGCCCACTGGTGCAGCTGCCGTGTCAAGTCATCCCCTGGAGGGCCCTCCCCTCTCCCTGCCCCTCTACGCTCATCAAGCAGGATTTCCTTCTGCAGAAACTGGTCTCTGCTGACAACACATCCAAAGTATGCAAGGAGAAGGCTCTCCATCCCTGCCTTTAAGGAGAACTATGGTTGGACTTCTTCCACGGCACATCAGTTTGTCCTTTTAGCAGTCCATGGTACGTTCAATATTCTTCTCCAGCACCACAATTCAAATGCATCGAATCTTCTTCGCTCTTTATTCAATGTCCAACGTTCACCGGCATCTCTTTGGAGATCTACAACGAGGCTCTAGGGTTGGCTGGAAAGTAAGACAAAGCTCTAAAGGAGGGTAGGAATTTGCCAAGAATCCCCAAGCTCTTAAGCCATTGGCAAAGGCAGAGCCAGGACCCAAGTCTGTCAGTTTTATCAAAATCCATTAGTTTGTACATAGGATCACTTTGATTGAGAGTCAAATCAAGAGGCCCCACCGATCACCATCACCTGTTCCCCTGGCAATCTGGAAACGGCTGCTGTCGTATCTCCATGGCTGAGTAAGAAACAG